CTCAGCCTTCTCTTGTGGAGGCTGAATAGGTTCAGGTCCCGCAGTCTCTCACTGTAGGGTCTGCCCTGTTGTCCCCTGATCATGCGGGTGGTCCTCCTCTGGACCCTCTCAATGCTGTCCACATCCTTCCTGAAGTGCAGTGCCCAGAACTGAACACAGTACTCCAGCTGCAGCCTAACCAGTATCACACACAGGCGGAGTATCACCTCCTTGGCTCTGCTTGAGATGCATCTGCGGATGCACGACAAGGTACGATTAGCCTTACTGACCGTGACCTCACATTGTCAGCCCATGTTCATCTTGGAGTCAATAATGACTCGGCCACCTCTCACTCCCTATGGTTACCAGCACCCTACCCACCATGACAGTATCTGGTCTGGCCAGCACTACTGTGCCCTGCTAGTGTGCCATGGCAGTCCAATCACAATATACCAATCCTGGCTAACCACAGCAATCAGTGGCATGCTCTTGCCATGTTCCATCCATCCCTGCTGTTAGTTCCTCCCTGCCCATTATGCCCACCAATGCCCCAGAGCACAGGAATCAGACTGCGATGCTGGATGTAATCTCTCCAAATGGAGCTACACATCCAGTCCAGTCCAGAGCATCAGACGCAGAAAGCCAGTCTTCCTACCCCTAAAAAGGGTGGCACATAGAGCCCATTCCAAGTGACTGCAAATATCGTTCACATTCCATTTCATTCTTCTGTTGAGTACAGCAAGCAAGATGCCATACCAAGAAAGGCACTGCTTAGTCTGATTCACCTAAACTTTTCAACTAGGACAGGCACAGTTCAATCTTGGAATTAGGATTTTCTCCATCCAGAATGGATCCCAAGCGTGGACATCTTTTTTTTCCCCACAGAGATTCTATACGATTCCTCCATTGTGAATCTGCAGATGTGTTCCATAAAAGTCCTTGATCCTCACCCTCCCTAGCTGTTGGCTTTCACACCATCTGTTGCCATAAGGGTTGTGATCAGTTTAATCCAGAGGTGGGCAATTATTTTGGGTGGAGTGCCACTTACTGAGTTTTGGCAAGCCATCAAGGGCCGCATGACAGGCAGCAAGGGGCAGATAAATATTAATTCACTAAATTTTTTAGGGGCCACGTGGGCCGGATAGAATGGCTTGGTGGGCCACATCTGGCCCACGGGCTGCATTTTGCCCACCCCTGGTTTAATCTATTCTGATGCATGTGACTGAGGCAAAGATTTTGCACAGCACTGTCAAACTTCAGGACTCGAGTTTAACCACCTATATCCATGTTTAGGCATCTGTGCATGATTTAAGAGCCCAAATATATGTTTATGTTCCTAAACACCCAAGGCTTTGTGGAACAAGCACGTCAGGCCTCAGAGGCCCTAACACATAGTCAGCTCCAGCCTTAGAGAAACATCTGGCCCGAACACCTGCCCTCACTCATCCTCCTTCGCTTCAGCTCACTTACCCAGGTGCATAGGAGGCCTTGGGCTCCGCTTTGATTGGAGGGACCACGTTATTCAGGCAGTGGCCGCTGAGGTACCCCTTGGGCACTACCATGCCATTGTTATTATTGCAGTTAAGGTGAGCACTGTAGCTGGGTCCACAGGGGTTGGGCAAAAGAGGACCATGACGGACCGGGACTTGGCTACCCGGGGGACCAAGGTGGAGTGAGCCTGTGGACACTGAGTTGTTCACATGACCAGCACTGGAGATCGAGCTGGCCACAGAAGCATTGGCAGTGGCAGAACTAGAAGGCTGGGCGTGTGCGTAGCTGGCTGAGGCAGGGATGTCAGGGAAACATCTGTGGAAGAGAAGTTGAGAACCTCAGTGGTATATGTATACTGTACCTTTCACTGCCACTTCAGCCCTGCAGTTTCCATTCACACACCCTCCTCAGGGATGGAGGCACTGTTGCCCAGCTGCTCCAGCACACACACTCTGAGAGCTCAGGAGAGAAATGGAGAATAACAGAATGCAACCACCCAGGACAACATAGCCAGCATGGCCTGGATGCTGCAAAAACTGCCCACAGGCCCTCAGTTTTACAACACACGGAGGAGAAGGCAACAGTTCTAGCAGAATATTTCCCCACCTGTGCTGCCTCTGGCATTGGCACATCATACCCCTTGGGTCTTCCTTTGAGAGTTCCCATTCTAAAATCTGACTGAGTAAGCACAATCCCAAATGATTTGCAGGATCTAAGAAGGATGGTACAGTTGCAGGCTCCTCTCAGAGTGACTCAGCTCATGCTAAGACACAACTGACTACAGCAGAACAGCACCACAACCTCAGCACATGAGATCCCAGATCCCCGCTGCCAGGACCTAGGAGAGACTGCCCTTCCCTTGACCCTCACTTGTCTCGGCACACTTTGGGAAGAGCACTCCCTTCTGGTACCATAGAGATCTCTTCCTGCTCCATACACACCATCCAAGGGCTCTCTCTCTCTTTCTAGGAACTATTCTTAGCAACATAGGGGACAGCAGATGAAAATGCATTCATCTGAGTTCCTTTGTGCTGCTTTTGCTCCAACTCAAAGGGGGTCTTCAGAGGACTGGAGTAAAGGATTCTCCAGTGATCCTACCAGGGAGGTAAAAAAGGAGAGACAGACAGAAAGGTGGAAAAAGAAAAGAAAGGAGAAGATGGGATTGCCAAAAATAAGGTAGCAGAGAACATGAGGCAGAGACTCTAAAAAAGACACAGGTAGAGAGGGAGACACAAGGACGCAATTTACAAATGAGTCATCGCATCACTGGAAAGGAAACTGTCCAACTTCTTCCCCTGTCTCCCTGCTGAAAATACCTGAACCCTGCCCCTCCAGGTGGCCCCTAGCTGTGGGTCAGCAAGCACTTACATATCTGGTGAGTCTTCCTTGCTGATGTACTCTTCCAAAATGCTGGTATCAATGTTGGAAGGCTCCAGAGCTCCATTGATATCATGACCTGCAGCAACGACAGGAAGTGAAATGGGTGAGTGCTAACATCAGGCTTGATGTTCCTTTCTCCCCACTGCCCTCCCACCCATCAGAAAATAAAGGGACCACGTAAGGTTCCCCGAGTTCCTGCATGGCCAACAGGTTGCCCAGTTTTGGATAGGTCCCCTATGCATCCACACACACATTACTGTGTGAAAATAAATGGGTGCATCTTGGTAGCCACTGAGACAACAAAGCATCTAGGACAAGGTAGAGAGATCAGAAAGGCTGGCAAGGTTAGCAGGGGATGCAAAATGTTAAACAGGAAACTACTGACTGCAAGACCACCTGGCATCATCTGGGATTAGGGGTCCTGCTAGGTTGGTCATGATCATATGGGGCAGGGAGACCAACTGTGCCTGGGGTCTATGGAATGCTGGTGTCTACTGAGATAGGCCTGGGTCATAGGAACATGTGTGCTCTGCGGGATACTGGGATCCAATGAACATAGCCTAAGTCACAGGGGATGCCAGGGCCCATTGAGTCATGCATGAGTTGTGTGGGATGTAGGGGTGGTTGTAAGGGAGCCTGCTGGGCTGGACCTGAATCACATGATATAAAAGTGAGACCACCAGGACAGGCTGGAGTCAACTTGACAGTAGGTCTTGATAACATAAGCAGAAGCCATTGGCTTTCCCTAGGTCACATGAACAAGACCACCGCTCTGGAAGAGCTGCTCTGGGTGGGCCACAGGAGCCCTTGGCTAGGCTTAACTAGAGTGAAAATTAGGCCCAGCAGAAGGGCTGCACCGTGTGGGCTCCATGGGTGGATTTGGGAGTCTAGTTTCTTTCTCTTCCCTTTGGACCCTTGCCTCAGTCTTGCAGAACTTACTGAAATTACTCTGCTGCTGCCATGACAGCTTCAGAACAGATCTGAGCATCCTTCGCATGCTTTTTTTTTTTTTTTAAAGAAATTTTTCGTGTTCCCAGACAAATCAAGTCAAATCCATGAGTCAGTCCAGAATCAAAAATGGCCCTACAACTGGCAAACATCCTCAACCCCCACCAGGGGCTTCCCATACTTCCAACGTCTTTTGGCGGACTTCATATGTCATCCTCCCTCTTCACTCTCCCCTCTCTCGATAGGAAAGGGCTGGACTTTCTTCCCCCTTTTCCTCTAGGGTCCCTCCTCCTCCTCCTCCCATGCTGTGGAAGCTGGGCTGGGCTTTGCTGATAGAAAGTGCTTTCTTTATCTGCCTCTCTGAAGTAGGAGCTTGCAGCCCTCTGGAGTCTATGCCAACCCTAAGTGTCAAAGACACTGCCAAGAAAGGTGGAAGAGGAGTCCCAGCCCCCCTCCTCCCTGAGCCCAGAGCATGAAGAGCCCTGCCCCAAAGGCCTGATCCCTTCAGGCTGAAACAGTATGTCACTTGCCCAGCAAACTCGTGCACATGCTCTCAAAGGACCACCCTCCCCACGAAGGCTGCACTCTGGGTAAAGGTTAGCCAATGAACCGCAAAAATGAAAAAGAGGGGCTTCACCCTGAGTCCAGCCAATCAGGTCTTTCCCCTGTGAAAATCCCTTTCATACCAAGACAAGCAAATCGGCAGAAATAAATCCAGCTAGGAATTTTGCCAAATGGACAGGGTGAGGGTTGGTGGGGGGGGATCTTTTCCTTGGTAACACAGGCCAGAGAGAAAAGCCTGGGTAGCAATTCCACTGTAAGGCACCTAACCCTTTGTGTACCACGTACCTCAATGGCAGAGTGGTGGACAGGAGTAAGGGCGCTTGCCACTCCCCTGCTAACACCTGTTTCCAAGGAAGACAGACAAACACACAGATCCTGGCATCCCCAGTCCCTCCAGCACCCAGTGGGGGCTCTTGTGCTGCTCCCAGAGACAAAGAAAGAAAGAGCAGGACATGATTTATAAGACAAGCAGGGACATTTCCACAGCTTGTTCCTGAAGCAACAGAGCATGGGGCAGGAGAGTACTAGGGTCTCACCCTACCTACAGAACCTCATCACCTGAGAAGCCTGTTTAGATGCAGGGCTCACCTAGGCTGAAATGACAAAGCAGTGATGCAACCCTAATCAGATGTCTTGTGATTGAAGTATCATTAAAACTGAATCCAGAGTAAGTGAGGGCACATGCTTGGGAACCTTCCCACCATGGCTCAGCTTGTGTTCTCTTGGCTGCTTTCCCCACTCTTCCACCTCACAGGCTCTCCCCAGTCCAGCTCTGCCAAAGCACCATCCCCAGAGCTGCAGTGTTTCTTTTCTCCCAGACCAGCTCTTGTGGTTTTCAGTCATGTTCATGGCACCACCTGCTACGCCAGGGATACTTCTGTCTTGAGCAGAGAATTACAGTCGTACTAAAGCATGTATTGATGCGGACAAAAGCACACTAGAAAAGCGTTCAGAAAACAGAGTTCCTTCAGCATGTGATTAAGGATTTGAATCAAGGTCTCCTGGAGCGAGGGACCAAACTACCAAGCTACCCTGGGGGGGAGCTCTACATCCCTTCTCACTTCAAGATGCGCTCCTCAGACCAGCAGAAGTCCTGGTGCAGGACGCTAGCTTGAGAATGTCTCTTAGAGATGGTTTCTGCCCACTCCGCAGTCTAACCCTGCAGGTAGGTGAGCTCACACCTTCCCAGTCACTTTGCCTGAGAGGTCACCTTCATGAAAACTCGATTAAGACCCAAGCCTCAGGTGAGATAAACACCTTGACGTGAAAGGTGTGTCAGCTGAGCAGCTCTGGAGCTGCAGCAGACTTGATAACAACCATAGCGGGGGAACTGGTAGTGTGTCATGGGGTAGCAGAGGTAAGGGGAGGAGGCTATTCACATCCTAAAAGTAAAGCCAAGGAAGAACATTCTTCAGCTTGAGTCTGCAGGCCCAGGAGTTGACTGCGAAGGAAATGAGAAGACAGGCTCTCTGAGGCCTGCATCAGACTGCTGGGGTGCTTTGTAGCAAATTCTTGTTTGTTCCCTGCTGCTTCTGATCCAACCTGGCCAGCCTGGGAATCTCGTCCCCAAGATCCTCTGCCCTGCCCCTGGTCCTCCCTGTGCCCCTGCTCCCTTCGCTGGGGCAGAAAGCATCTCTGGAATGTCTGCTGCGGAGTGCGGGCTCTTAAGAGCATCTCATTGCCTGAAACTTTTATTCAACAGGGGCTGTTACCAAAAGCCAGCTTAGGTGATTAATTAAAAGCTAATACCTCTTTCTAGTCACGAGCTCCTAACAACTTTAACAATGCCCCTCCTCCTCCTCCCATCTGGGGATTAAGAGGGACCATGGATCCACAAAGCTTCACACCCACCAACCTCCACACAAGACAACCACTCATCTCCTTGCCCCAGTAAAATGGAAACAGCACAGGTGGCAGTGGCCATCACAGGTCATCCTGCCACAGGTCATCCTGTCACCCGCAGGCCTCTCCAAGAGCCCAGGCTCAATAATGCTCCTTCCAGAGTCCCCAGAAGCCTGTAACCCTAATGGCACTGTCAAAAGCTTCTCCCAGAGAGTCTCCAAAATTAATTGGGTCAAATTCCACCTTTAGTAAGAACCTGGGGTAACTCTGCCAGTGTCAGAGGAGTTACTCCAGATTTACCCAATTCAAGACACTGAGTGCCTCTGTGCAAAGTAGCTTCCTCTGCCTTCCAACTGGGCTGAGTGCTCACACCTTGAGTGCCTACTGAAGTGTGTCACACCGGCAGCTCACATGGAGCAGCCCCTGTGCTCTAAATTCAAACCCTTGCCTACTGCGCCACAACTTCAATGCAGATGAACCTTCAGAGCAGACTACAGCTCATCTCAATATGCACAGAAAAAAAGACTACACACTCTTCCCTGACACCCTCCTGTTTCAGAATCCCATCCAGAAACAGGTCAGAAAACTACCATGCTCCTGGCCCTAGTAAGCCCCTACCAAGCTCTGGTTTTCCTCTGTCCCAGGTAGCAAAACCATCCCTGGAATGACTGCCCACTCATCTCCACTAACTCCACATCTCTTCCCAAAGCCCCCTCCCCACCACTCCACTCACCGCTCCCCGCAATGTCCCTGCTTCCCTATCAGAGTCCCCCTAAAAGTCATACCCTATCTCTCTCCCTCAGTCTGCTTTCCAAACTCTCCCTCTCCTGAGGGGTCATGGAGGAAGTGTAGGGAGTCATGAAGGTAAATCTTGTTTGAGAAGAACAAGATGACATTAGCCCGGGGACCTTCCCCATGAAAGGAGTCAGGAGCTGGGAAAGCAGAGGCCCCTGTACGTGTGAGAATGTCAGGAATCCCAATGTTTGGACTGGTTTTCTCTGCCTTCCCCAAACTCCCAGACAGGATCAGTGTCCAAATGAAGCTGCCAGAGCTGGTCCCCCTTCCTGTGTGGTTGGGATTGGCAGCTTGTCTGCTCCCCCGTCCTACACCAATCACCCTTGCTGCCTTCCAGCCCCTGTGCCAGCCCCAACCCTGCAGCACGCTCGCAGGCTCAGCACACAGAGGAGGTCCAGGGAGCCCTGCTTCCTCCTCAGCTCTCCGTGTCTGAATGCATGGGGCTCCAGTAGATGAGCGCAACACGGTGCTATGCAGCTCTCTGAAAGAGTTAACAGAGCCCCGCCCCTTCGAGTCACTGTATTTACAGGCCTTAGAGATTAAAACCAGAATTTACCACGAGTGATAGACTGATAAGTTTATGGTATTTCTATTTATAACAATCCCTCCCCCATCCACACTTGCTCTGCTGCCTGTCTTCTAATCACCCATAATCCTCCCTGGGTCACCAGGGGGGTGGGAGGGTTAGGGGGAGCGACTGACAGAGAACGGCATCCTGGGATACCTTAACAAGAACCAGATGTGGGAACCTGGAGAGGATGACAAGGTCAACCATTTTAATGGGCTGCTGAACTTCAGCAAAAGGGAAAAAAACAGCAAGAGCAAAGCTTCAGGAGACAGGAATGAGGGGAGGGAGTTACTGAGAGGCAAGGCCATGCCTACAAGAGGGCCGTGGGCTTCCCCAGGGCAGGATCACCCCATGGCTGC